GGGTTGTGAAAAAATGAAAGGGTTGGAAAAGAGCCCCGAGAGATGGCCTTTGCATAAAGTGGAAATGATAGCAGATAACAATATGGTGTAATGTTGCAACTTAGCAACGAACGATGAATATACGTTGGCAGAGAACATTTTTGGTGAAAATTTGATTTCTGATATCATTGACATTTAACCAAAAGGACTGATATGATTTCATTTAAATTTACCACTCTGAAAATAGGTCATTGTCGGTGGGACTATTGCCGAAGATTGTAAGGAAGAGCGATAGCCTCAGAAAAGTTTTTGAGCTTTTTTGCGGATTAGATAGTTTTTAGTTAGTAGATGAAAACCCCAAAATTGTTAATTGGAATGGAATCCAAATTTTCAGTGTTTTGATGATATCTGTCACAATTTTCACAGGAAAAATTTCAAATTTAAAATTTGTGGTGGAGGGTATTCCAAGTTCGGCTGGACCGAACTTAATCATACTAATTTCGCAAATTTTGGTAATATCAACAAAGGCCTACGTTTTGGTATAACCTCATATGAAGTTTTCCCATGATTTCAGCATAGATTAGTCATCGCAGAACATTTACAGGGTAAGATGAAAAACTGCAACCAACTTCAGACTGCTGTCATTTCTAAGCCACTCGTCCGACATCTGTTAAAATTATTCCAGCTCATTATAATAGAATTTTGGTGAGAATTTTCCAGAAAAAAAGTTATTCAAGCGTTATATTCTGATTTATTTATATTTGGCTGGAAACCCGGAAGTGGCTATCGTTAGAGCACTCCAGCATTTAAATGTGAATAAATTTTTTATGTCTCGTACCATCGCTCGTCACCGTGATACGGGTAGCGTAGCCCGACGTCAAGGCAGTGGACGGAAGAAAACATCAACATCTGCTGGTTCGAAGAGTAAAGAAGCGACTTGATCGTCGGAGTGACCGAAAAATGGCTCGCGAGCTGAACATATCCCAATATTCCATTCAGCAAAAATTTAAAAATGAGCTCGGGGAAGAGCCATTAAAATTCCAAAAAGTGCAAGAACTTACACCATTACAGAAAGCAAATAGACTCTAAAGAGCTAAAGAGTTGCTTTTCTTGGCCTAGAGTGGTGAACTGCCGAATTTGGTTTTCTCCGATAAGGAAACATTCGTTTCTAAACAAACAAAATGATCGCATTTACTTGCCAAAGAGGTCAGCTGAAAATGTTCACCTTCGGTTGGCCACCAGAACTCGAGCGCCGGCTATGGTGATGGTGATGGTTCGGGCCGCCATAACAGCCGATGGTAGCTCTCCGCTCGCATTAATCGACCGTGGCATCACAATAAATACCGAATATTATCGCGAATATATTTTGGAGGGTGTATTAAAGTCTTGGGCACGCAAACATTTTGGCCGCAGACCTTGGACATTCCAAGAGGACTCAGCACCATTGCACTCAGCACGCGCCACCCAAGAATGGTTACAAAATTAATTTCCTCGCTTTATTTCCAGCGCACAATGGCGACCAAAACCTCCAGATACCAATCCGTTGGACTATTGTGTCTAGAGTATTTTTGAAAGCAAGGTTAGCACTAAAAAATACGAAAGTGTCGATCACCTCAAGGAAGCGCTCGCCGGGAATAGGCCAAAATACCGCAGAGCAATATTCGGGCAGCGTGTGACGATTTCATTGGCCGTTTGAAGGCCACAATTCGTGCCAAAGGTAACCAATTCGAACAAATCAAAACTTATTCTAAAATTTGATGCTATTTCCGACAGTTTTTGGTTGCATTCAATAAAATTAAAAAAATATATATATAACAAGTTAAAAAGCAGTAAGTTCGGCCGGGCCGAACTTTTAATACCCTCCACCATTTGCAAAGAATTTGGAAATTTTCAAAAAATAAAATCCTTAAAAAATTCTGTTAAAATTTTAAAAATACCGAATATAGCCGTTATTTTGGCGTCTATACGACGTGGACATACATAGGCATTGTTTGTCATAAGCCATTACCATATTCAAATTCGAAACTTGAAAAAAACGGAGGTGCCGTTAAATTGGAGCTGTGCGAAGACCTGGACCAGCATAGACAATTTTCTGTCTCAGACTGTAGTTCCCACAACGAACTTCAAATACCAATTTTAAAACAATTCCGGTGAATAATGTCGCTAAAATCATCAAAATACCGAATATCGGGAGGTACCGTTATATGGGGGCTATACGAAGACGTGGACCTGCACAGATATTTTTCCGTCTTAGGGTGTAGTATCCATTTTGAACTTCAAATACCAAATTTGAAACAATTCGCGTGAATAATGTCGCTAAAATCATCAAAATACCGAATATAGGGAGGTACCGTGATATGGGGGCTATATGAAAACGTGGACCTACATGGCCCATTTACGAACTTAACCTGCCTACTGGAAAAATAAACATGTGTGCAAAATTTTAGCCACCTATCTCAATTCATTCGAAAGATAGCGTGATTACAACAGACAGACAGACGGACAGACATACAGACAGACAGACAGACAGACGGACAGACAGACAGACAGACAGACGGACATCGCTAAATCGACTTAGAATTTTACGCTGATCAAGAATATATATACTTTGTTGGGTCTGATATGAGTATTTCGAGGAGTTACAAACGGAATGACAAAGTTAATATACCCTCCATAGTATGGTGGAGGGTATAAAAATTATGGCGTTTGACTTTGTTCAATTTTTTTTTGTATCTAACCCTATAGGCCAACGTTTTGGTATAACTTCATATGAAATTTTCCACTGGTCTTAGCCACATTTCTGATGGATTCCACCGCGCTACGATTAAGAGATATAAAGCTGGTAAACAGTAAGAAATTCGGCCAGGCCAAACTTCTTGTGCTCTGCATTCTATATCTTCTTCTATTCAATACACACCCAAAAAAGATTGGAAAACAGAACAAATTTATTATCTGATTTAAATTAAATTGCTCACAATTCATTTTTAGACCAAAGGACGAAACTCTATTGAAATTGGGAAATCGTTCCAAATGTTGATATAGCTCCCATATACGTTTGTCTTCGTTCGATTTCCGACATTTTTTGGGTGATATACCAGATACCAGCTCAGAAAGACCTCTGCCAAATTTTACCTGATTTTGATGTAGCTTAGAAACCGATATCTTCATCCGATTTCACCGTTATTGTACACCAAATATGTAACATCAGTGGAAATTGCGTGGTTTTTATATATATTTAACCTATTTTTCCATTTAGTGAAACTCGGTTCCCATATATCTATAGCTCCGATATATATTTTTTAATGAAATCCTTCTCGTGAAAATGATTTTGTCAAATTTGAGACGTCCCATATATTAGTTCCCTTTGATTTCAAGTTATGATCCATAACTTTTGTTTGTTTTCTGGCGTCTTAGGTTTGTTCGTTGCGCGTGCCCATCTTTTGCCACAGTTACTCATTAATTGGTATTATAAAAGTAAGTTCTTGTGCCTTATAAATGTTTTAGGAATATCACATTATTAATTAGCTTACTGTTATTGTAAGCTGTTGTAATTACTATTAATGCTAAAAGTGCCACATACCCCTATTAAAATTCTGCTGGGTAGGACTATTGAAATCAAATACGTTTTGCAAAGATATGCTCTACACATTAAGATTTCAATGTATCAAAGTTCATCCACTTTCGGTGGAAATCGGGTAGGACTTTTAAATACTCAAAACAAACCGCATTTACACTATGGAGAGTTGTCGAAATGTGGTCTGATTTGAATCTTTTCTATCAGTATCCATGAGAATTAAAAATTCTAGCAAATATGTCTGAGAAGAGTATTCGGAACCTTAAAAATAATATAATTTAGAAATGACCAACCAATACAGGGCCTACTCTGGAGTTTTCTTGCCAGGAAAGTTTGTACACATAAAGAATCCGAAGTGTCAAATTGTGTAATCCTTGGTTGGTGGTATCAGATATGTTTTTTTTTATAAAGTTTTATGTTCCTTCCAAAATGTTTAATATAAAAGGCCCCAATAGCCAACCAACCACCAGCCTTCTGTTTCAAAAAATTCTCTGATGATATCTTCGAGTTTAAGACATTTCTATCTAGGCCATGTGTATGTAAATCAAAAAGTATACATGTGTACGTGAGTGGGTGTGTGTGTGTTAATGTTTTTAGGTTGCCGTTGTATCTTTATAAGGATTGTTGTATTATGTTACATCTTCTTCAAAGTTTTCATCATTTCGGTTGCTGGCATTTGCGGTGGTGTTAACGAAGGTGTTGATTATGATAATGCTGGCAACTGAATTGTCTGTCTGTCTGTCTGCCATCCTGCCTGCCTGCCAGTCATCAATGGTGTCTCTATTCACGCTTTATTTATTTTCATCATTTGAATTAAATACATGGAAGGCTGTTTTCACAGGATGCCGCTTGTGGAATATTTTATATGTATGTTAAGATGAATGTATGTTTGTATGTCTGTTTGCCCCTAATGGTTTCCTCTGATGTAAAAGGGCGATTGTCAGACTGGGTGAGTGTGAATGTGTGTGTGTGTTGTTTTTAGAAGAACTTTAATTTGTTGAGTATAGAAGGGTTTTTGCAAAACTCTGATTCGATTTCCTTTGCTTTTACAAAAGTTTAATGTGAACGAGAGAAAAGAGAAAAAGAATTGTTCCCTTAGGTCTATTAGAGGAAAATGTAAAATCTATCCTTGCCCTCAACAGATATTACCGGAAGGATGAATGTTTCTGTTGTGTATTACCGTTACAGGTAGGGTTAGGAACGTACTTCAATGGACGGAAATTTTTGATATTCAAAGGAAATAAATCTTAATTGAGAAAGGGAGTGATAAATGGATGGTATTCTTAAATAATTTGCTGCAATATTAGCTGCCGTGGTGGGATGCGATATTTATTGGACGAGTTGTACTTAATATTCATATTTTTATAATTTCTATTTATGCATATATGTCCATTTTTTTATTTCTTATCTATTTAATAATCAACTTAATTGTTTATAGAATACTTACGATATTTCTCCAAATGGTGTAAATGCTTCACGCAGCTGTTGAGTTTCAATTTCTGAACTTAGATCACCCACAAAAATATGAAATTGTTCTGAAAATAGAAATAGTAAACGAAAATATGATTAAAGATATGCCAGACATATTTAGATAAGAAGATTTTTATCATGAAGCAAATATAGTTATACATTTTTCTCATTAGGACAAACTTTAATAATAATTTGTTGTTGTGTACTCTTTGGTATATTGTTATTCAAAAAGAACTGAAATACGCATTTGCTGTGCCACAAAGAGATAAAACAACAAAGACACGAGTGAGATACATACATACAACAAAATATATATGAAAACGAAAATATAATTAATACGACTTATGTGAATAAATAAATCCATGTAATATAATGCATAAAAATAGTAAAAGAGAAACCATTAAATCTTGTGCAGTAGATACAAATTGTTGAATATAAGGATGATTCACACAATAAACTTATGTGGCTATATTTTTGCAAGGAGGTTTTTTTGGGAGGTGCTTTGTATAAAGAATTGGTCTTCAGTATATTAAGGACAATTACGGCTTTTTCTTATTGAGCCTACGATATCTAGGTTTTGAAACTGCGTTCTCAGCTTTTCCATTTCTATATATGTGGAAAAAATAAGGTGCTCAAGTTATGTAACAAGCTATTTAAAGTCTCCTCATGGCTAGTCTTCGTTAGTTAGTCTTTAATATTTCGGTCGATGCTCATCTAATTAAACAGGAACCTGTTATTCTTCCAGCATTACTAGTAATGACAACTGCACACACTCTACATTAGCAGTAGGCCAAAAATAACGGCAACTACTTAGGCTCTGTATTACCAGGCTAGAAATAATCCATTGCTCCTATAAAATATGCAAGGCAAATAACTTACTCTTATCACACCAAGAAATGAGTAGAGGTGGTGTAGAGTGAGGACTAAACGACCTAAGGTCCATGTTTCAGATCGCCGTGTCAGCATAAAAATATAAAAAAGTAAAAAAAAACAATAGGTTCGGCCGGACCGAAGTTTTAATACCCTCCAACATAAAAAAAAAATTCAAATAAATCCGTCGAAAAGTACCTCTTAAATCAAAAACGTTACATGAGGGCTATACGAAGACGTGGACCTGCATAAGTATTTTTATACCCTCCACCATAGTATGGAGGATATTATAAGTTTGTCATTCCGTTTTTAACACCTCAAAATATACATTTAAGACCCCACAAAGTATATATATTCTTGATTAGCATAAAATTCTATGTCGACTTAAAATTCTACGGCGATGCCCGTCCGTCTATCCACTCTAAGTTCCGAACGAATTGAAGTAAATTGATAAAATTTTACTTAAATCTATGCTATGTCTGCAGCACTTTTGGTATTGAAAATGGACCATGTAGGTCCACGTTTTGGTATAGCCCTCATATAACTGTACCTCCCGATATTCGGTATTTTGATGATTTTAGCGACATTATTCGCCGGAATTGTTTCAAAATTGTTATTTGATGTTCGAAATGGATACTAGAGCCATGACAGAAAATTGTCTGTGCAGGTCCCGATATTCGGTATTTTGACGATTTTAGCGACATTATTTACCGGAATTGTTTCAATTTTGGTATTTGAAGTTCGTAATGGATACCGTAGCCTCAGGCAGAAACTTGTCTGTGCAGGTCCACATTTTGGTATAGCCCCCATATAATAATACCTTCTAATATTGATGTTTGAAGCTACACTATTCACTGATTTTTTCTAGTTTCGCATTTCAATATTGTAATGGCTTATGACAAAATTTGCCTATGCAGGTCCACGATGTAGTTTAGACCCTAATACGACGGCTAAATTTGGTATTTTTAAGATTTCAACAGAATTTTTAACGGATTTTATTTTTGTTTTGAAAATTGCCAAATTAGTTCCAAATGGTGAAGGGTATTCAAAGTTCGGCCCGGCCGAACTTAAAGCTTTTTTACATGTTTTTTTTTTGTCATAGACTGCACTACCGTTTCCAAACTTAATAATACTAAATTGAAACAATTTCGGTGAATAATGTCGCTAAAATCATCAAAATGCCTAATATAAGGACATACCGCTAAATTGAGCACTATACCAAAACGTACATAGCGCATTTAAAGCACTAAAAGTCCTGCAGACTTTTAGACACACATGTGAGAAAAATTTTCTATTCTCTTTCATTGCATTCGGAAGCTAGAGTGATTTCCATAGACGGACTGACATCATCATAGAATTTTGTGCTGATCACCCTCTACCATAGTATGGATATGGTGGAGGATATACAAAAGGGATAACCACGAAACGTGGAATAACCGGTCACAAATATTGCTCAACCTACAAAAGGGCGGCCCTTGAAAGTGAAACTCCATTTATGGGAGCTATACCATTATTGAATAATTTTAGAGGTGAATCTTATTAAACCTGACGTAATTAAAAATGTAGACCGAAATCTTTAAAATAATGAAAATTAGAAGGCATATATGGAATATTATTAAAAGGAGTAAATCTTATAGAAGCCGAAATGTTAATTTACAGGCGATTTATATGGATTTGCTGGGCAGACACTACCGAAAAAATGGACCGATATTATCGATTAAAAAAAAAAAAACAGGTGGTGGGTATATGCCCAAAATTAAACTATATAGTGAGGAAATCGAAACGGCGGTTTGATACAATACATTAAACGTTTTTCAGGAAAAAAAAATACATAATTCTTTAAACATTTTTATTTTTAATAATAAATTCATATTACTATTATTAAAAAGCTGTACGCTTATTTCCATTTATTTAATAAAAAAATAACAGTAATGGAATAGGCTATCACAGATTATTCCCGCTGATTATATTCTTATTATACATTTTACCTCCAATTAATTTAATTATATCATAATTATGATATTTCACTTAAAATGTAATTACCATAACAAGTATTACCTTATTTCTTGGAAATATCAACAAATGTTACCTCGGAACTCTTCAAAATGAACATATACACACACGCACATATGAAAATATATAATAATGTCAAGTGTGTCGATACGTACATATATTTTATGAATTTTTATTTATATTATGTATAATCGGTACAAAAGGGAAAAACACAAAAAATAATAGGTACAACAGCAAAATTACCGCATTTTTTCCCCCCCACCCCTGTTTTAATTATTAATTACAACGGTAGACATGTGTCTTCGACATGTTTGTATGTAACTCAATATGTACTTGTGTACGTAGTAGTTAAGTGTAATGCCGTTTTTTTTTTTGGCGAATACTTTCATTATAATTATATGAACATCTCTTAATCGAAAGCAATGTGTGTGAGTGTGTGTTCATATGAGTGGTTGGTTATATTCATTAATGCATATTCATTTAGTTGTTTGTATAAAGCCAAGAAATACATACATATGTATGCATGATAATGTGTTTGTTTGCCAACCATTCAATTTACATTTATTAAGCTACATCTTTGTCTATATTTATGTCGCGACGAAGACGATGTCGACTACGACGACGACGAGAACAGAAACAGCAAAGACGTCAATATATTAATTCCTGTTTGTTTTACAAATTTCTTCCCATTCATATTCGTAACGTCCAACAGTACATACACCCTCACAAATTAAAGAAGTTATAAGACACATGCACATAACTTCTTACATACATCCATATGTATGAACTACGAGTAAAAGTATTTCTGCTGAAGACAAAAAATATCGAATGGAAGAAAAAATATTATTGCTGATGTTGATGTTGCTTGCTTTCTGCTCAAATCCTTAGCCTTAAATAATTAGCACTACTCTGCCAAGGATGTTTTTTCCTTCCTATTCCCTTTGGAGAAACTTTAATCTTCACGTACAGGGTGTCAATTAAGGGTTGATTATATTTTCAATTATTTCCATGGCATAAATGTAATTTTCATTAGTTGTAGAACAATAGGAGGAGGATTTGATGTTTTTTTTAGTATGTAGTATATGAATTAGTTAAAAGAAAAAATATATATATTACCATAATTAACGGTGGGATGTATCCTTTTTTGGATGAGACAAAATTCCAGTAAATTTTAGAAAATTATGCAAATTAACTTGTCTTAGGGTACAAAGGCATTTCTTATTGCTTTGAGTGTTTTTCTGCGTTATCAGATTTAATTGCTTACACTTGCCATAACAGAAACCAGAAGGAGTTAAATAAATAGAAAACTTGTATCTGTTTCTAACTAATAATAGGTCTTCTATATAAAGCTGTAGGTATTTTGTCTTCTATATACAAGACCTCTGGAAGGTCTGCTATTTTATGAAGGCCTCAAAGTGCAAAAATTAAATCATGGCACCATTAACTACTTACAAAATAACATCTTAACCCCTTATCTTGCTATGGATGTGCTATAGGAAGTAAAATGCCACAAAGAATTATTAAATAAGTTAAGAGAGTTTTATTTTCAGAACTATTGAGTTATATAGGGTGAGATGATAAAACAGCAACCAACTTCAGACTGCTATCATTTCTAAATAACTCGTCCGACAGCTGTTAAAATCATTCCAGTGACAGCTCATTATATTGTTTACAAGCTTACTAAAGCATTTTGGTGAACACTTTCCATAAAAAAAGTTATTCGTGATGGAATTCAAGCGTGATAGTTCTATTTCTTTATATTTGGCTGGAAAACGACAAGTGGCTATCGTTAGAGCACTCTACCATTTAAATGTGAATAAATCTTTTCCGTCTCGTAACATCGCTCGTTACCCTGATACTGTTAGCGTAGCCCAACGTCAAGGAAGTGGACGGAAGAAAACAGCAACTACAGCAGAAATGGTTCAAAAAGTAAGGAAGCGACTTGATCGAAACCCGCATCGCAGTGGCCGAAAATGGACTCGTGAGCTTAACATATCGACATTTTCCATTCGTCAAATATTGAAAAATGAGCTCGGAGTAAAGCCGTTGAAATTCCAAATAGTGCAAGAACTTACACCACAACAGAAAGAAAATAGACTAGAGCTAAAGAGTTGCTTCGCTTGGCCGAAAGTGAACTGGTGAACTGCCGAATTTGGTTTTCTCCGATGAGGATAGATTCGTT